GCACTGATTTATTTGGGGATCATATAACAGTGGTCCCAAATTAGGTATTATTTTCCATGACCTTCTTACCTGCTAGGTTGGCCACAGGAACCAACCAGGTCCACACCACTGGAAGCCAGTAAAACATTTCTCAGGTGCTGGCATGCTTCAGAGTGGATGTAATTTATCAGCTGTGAAAGGACCTTAAGCAATAAAAGCACCGCATGGAACCTGCTTAACTCCTTAGTGGCAAAATTGTGGTGCCCTGGTAAAGATTTTCTCTTCCTGCTCTTGAGGAGCAAAGGAAAAGCAGTGGAAAGGGGAAATAGAAGGCTCCTCAGAGCCCAGAACACAAGCACAGAACACCATCAGTCTATGTGTAAAGGGAAACGTGATCCACAGCATTCCTGAGTCACAACATCTTTTTACAGGTTACAAGTGACTCACCCCCATGGGCTGGCCCTCAGCCATGAAAGCCTTCAACCTCAAAGTCCCACTGCCACTTCCTCATAGTTTTCTTATTAAAGCCAAGTATTGTCCCATCCTGCCTGCTGGCTTTGCATTACCCTAAATCATAAAGAGATCATTTCCCCCAAGGGTCCAGACTCCTCTTTCTGATGTCCTAAAGATAAGATAAAATGTTGCATGTCTTAGTCAGTTTCTAATTTCTTTAGGGGAAAAAAAAATTGGCCTTGAAAGCATCTACAACAAACCACTCCACAGTGCAAGCCACTCCCACACTCCCTAAATGCCCTTTGTCTGAGTAAGCGAGCAGCAACCTGCCTCCCATAGGTTTTAATGCAAAAAATGCGAAACAGCTAATCCATAGGTGATTCATCTCTGAATCAATGGCCTTCCTTGGAAAACTACCCACTCCACACAGCAGAAAGAACCTGGGAGTAATTCCCTACACTGCTGGATCTAAGTCCTGCCCCAGCAGAGCAATGCCACCCAAACATACAAAGTTTCAGGCTTCCATTCAGGCATCGAAAGCTCCTTGACTCAAATTTAAGTATTGTCTCCCTGAGACAGTCCTCCAGCTTACACAACAGACACCACCATCACCAAGGACTTCTTTTTTATTAGTTTAGTTAAATGAATTATTTACTTTAGCTTAACACCCACTTAAAACTGAGAACTCGCAACTGGAAGTGAAACCTCTGAAAATCTATTTCTCAACCAGACCTAGCAGGGAAATGCTGATACCAATGGAAAGGCATGGCTCCTCTGTTGCCAGGACTACAAGACACAACCTACTGCATAAGGCAAGCATTTCAAAAGATCATTCTGGTATTATTATTCTGCTATCCTTGTAGCCCTAAAATAGTCTGTTTTACAGTACTCTGCGCAGAATTTCAAGACCTTCTTTGCACTTATCCATCTACCATTCATCACCCAGTTCCCCTCCATTCTGCCTTCCTGGTCCAACTCTACACTCTCTTTCCCCCCTGTTCCCCAGGAACCAAACAAGTATCCAAAAAGCATACTCAAAGCATCCTGATTCTCTCCAGTGAAGAGGAATGGTAACCAAAGACAATTGGACATGATAGAAGAGGAAAACACATTCTAAATGGGAAAGAAACTTGTGATTTATAAGGCTAGGAGTTATTTTCTAGGTAGAGAGGCATAGTTGCTAGAAAAAAATTGACAAGTTTTGGGATCACAGGCATATCCTCAGATACCCAACAAAAGAAGCAGCTGCATTATACTCAAGTTTTGACCCAAGTTTTATACTTGGGTCATGTAAAACTTGACAGAGTAGAAATCTGGATGCATCTTCGGGCACAGGATACACTGATTTCTCTCATGGCTGCGCTAGTTAAGCCACAGTGGTCAACACAGTGCCCCACAGTCAAGTCCACCCACAAGCACAACCGTTTACGGAGGAAAGTTCTCTTGAGGTCAACTCTATAGCAAAGTTCCTCCAAATTTTGTTCAGGTGCTCGTCAGGGTCCATAGAAATGTTTCATGTCCTCGTCACTACCCCACAGTTCAAACTGCACCCAGAGGTAGTAAAGTAAGTTCACCTTCCCCATGCTGCCTTGGGTGTCAGTAAATTACCTGCTACTGCTTGAAGAGCGTTGCAAACTTAGGTTGCAGCGGCATGACACACAGGGTGTGTGTCAACTTCCTGCAGTCTGCCAGGCGTAATCAATGCCTGGTTTTAAGGCACAGCTAAGTCTGCTCAAAAGGCAACACAATGCATGTTGATGTTCCTGCTGTCCCTAGCTTTTCGCTCCTGGAAGCCAGTCCTCACAACTCTGCCAACGTAGCTCCATATGAAGTTAGCTCTTGGGCACTGATGAAGGCTGTTTCAACCCACAGGACTGCTTTCACACTATAATCTGTCAGAGATCATTCCCAACAGCTGCACAGCCAATGATCAAGTGTGAAAGGTGCAACTTTTCAGCTAGCACTGCTAAATCCAGAACAGAGTGCTTGCAAACAACTAAAAGCTAGCCTGAGCATGGCAGCACAACACAAAGCTGCCTGCACGACTGTGGTTTGACTTTGATGCCTAAAATCCATACAATCATTTCTACAGTACAATGGAGCTCTGATCTCACTTATTCTGGGATTAATGAAGAGCAGCATCTCCTGTAGGCGCTACTTTCGTAGGTTAAAACTAGCATAGAGAAAAGAGATTCAGGACCAAGGAATTAATCAGGATGTGTCTTGTGAGCACAAGCACTTCGCAACAGCTTCTACTCCCTGTGAGTTTCTTACTGGCAAAAATGAGGTCTCCACGTCAGCATGTGCTGGGACTCAGGGATGTCAGGGGGCAGGCTCACTTCCTGGAATACAGTCAGCATTTCCTGGATTCAAGTTGTACACAGGCCAGAAATAACTCTTTGCATCTTCAGTGAGCTTCTGATATTGAAAATGGCCTATTTTTGCATTTGCTGCAAGATAAGATTGGACACAAGCTTTTCACAGGAAAAAAAAGTTTATTCTGCTTCAGTTATTTATTGTTCAGGAGACATTTGAAGAGAGGAACACGGGGAATGGCACTGCAAATGCAATCAGAAAAAACAACAGGAAGTCAGGTCAGTTTACTCTCCCAAATGTCTGCCTTCACATCCCTATAGGAAAAAACCCCGCAAATCTACCCCTCACAAAAACCAAAAATAACAGTCAAAAAACCCTTCACTGTTGCTTTGAAACCTGCAAAGTCTACAGTTCTACCAGAAATTTCTCATGTACAGCAGACACTGCAAAGTGAACGGGTGCAAGCAGGTAGTGAGAAACTGTAGAGCCTGTAGTTCCTGGTCTTATGTCAGCCTGCCATAAAAGTGGGTTTTTCTACTCTATCAAAGCTCCAATATTCCATGAACTATAACAAAGACTTCCAGCAGCTGTGCTTAATTAACCACAACTGCTTACTATTTTTGAAGGCCATTGCTTTTTGCTTTGGAAACAATGTCAGTGGTATCAGGTGTCAAGGAATTTTCAAAACCACACTCTATGTGAGACATTTGCTTGCTGTTTAACATTAAATTGCACAGGATGAATGGAGAGGCCATTAAATGAATGAGTACAGTTTCTGGGAGCAATTTCAGACAGTTCCTCCAGACAATCATTTTTTTACTGTTATTTCTCACAGTAATAACAGAAAACAAGCCTTTGTCTAAACAGGAAAATAAGGTACAGGTTTACTCTTACCACAATACACATGACAAAGGACATCTTAGTGTGGATACTTGTTAAAAAGTTACTAAGAAGCAGACAGCATTATCCTGATAAATTCACTGAGGGAGCAATGGAGGACAGTTGGTTTAGCAACAAGGACTTCAAAATAATCTTAATCTGAATTAATTTTTTTTATATATAAATATTTTTGGGATCAGATTTCTAAGGTTAAATAAAAAGTGCATGTATGTATCACAAAAAGATGTAACGTTTTTTACATCATATTTTAAAAATAAATTGCAAATAAATATTTACAGTAGAGGTATGGTATCTAGCCCTACCAAAAGATCCTTTTGAAATGCAGTACAGTTCCTGTAAAATGCCTAAATGATATGTGTAGCAGTAAGCAAAGAGCTCATTTTCTGCAGGGTCTGTTCTTCCTATAATAGGACATGGTAGGGCCATAAGTTACCTGTGATCCTTCTCATACTGTTAGTTAAGAAGTAGAGGATAGAGGTCCGAAGGGCACAGTGTCACAGAAGCAAAACAGACCTCAGAAAGAAAAAAAAATTGGCAGAAGGGGGCAGAAGATGCATGCACAAATACATGCAGCATGGAAAGCAAGCAGGCAGAATATAGCTCTCCACGAGCTCAAAGAACTACACATTGTTGTAGTGACAGGGACACAGTGAGGCAGCTTGTATGACTGGAGCACTGCAGTGGATGCACAGCAGTTTGTGCTGGTTTAAAGGTAAACTGGCAGGAGAAATGAACCCAACTCAAAAGAGATTGTAAGTCAGAATTACCATTTAATAAAAATAATAAATACAATTTGCAGACAAACAATTGGTTTTAACCCACAAAAACCCAGGTGCATAACCCAGCACCCTGGGGCACGAACAGAATGATGTTTGTTGGCTCCCATGCTGTGCCCCACGTGGTCCCCCTGAGTCCAAAAATAAAAGGAGAGGAAAAAAAACCTGTCGGTGCGAGTGATGGTGACAGACTGGTCGAGAGTGGCGGTTGCAGTGAAACAAGAAGAAAGAGGAAAGGGGTTCTCCGGTTACCATTGTCAAACTTTTGTGATTCTTTACACATACCAAGTTCAAAATCAACTGATATGGCTTTCAGCTTTCATAAAAAACCAGCATGCAGCAGCAGTGAAAAGCACTTCATTATCTGATGTTTTGAAAACATTAGTACATGCCTGGCCTTTTTACTTTTTGATTCCTTTTGAGTTTCATTATATACATGACCTCAGTTTTCAAGTTTTCTTTCGAATAGCAAGCAATCTAAAATATATTACTATTCTTTACAGATAAGTAGGTTGACATTCTTCTAGAATAATGTGAAGCAAAAGATAAGACATAAAAAAATACCTAAAAGTGCAAACATTATAAAAAGCTTTAGAAAAACAAACAAACAAACAAACAACACTGCTAATGGCAGTGCAACTTTGTTCCAGTGCAACAACAAACTGCAATGTAGTTTAATGTCAAAATGAACCACTGTCAGGATATTATAAATTTGCCAGCCTTCTGCCAACTCCAGGAGACAGCTTTGTCTGGAGCACTGAATTCCTGTTGGATAACCAAGACTAGAAAATGCAACTTCCATCCATCTGGGTCTGCTGAAGGCTGATCTGTCTTTCTTCTGACTATAAAAAAGTACTGATCAAAAATTGCATATAAAGCTGAGCAGTTAGGCCTTAGCTCTTACATTCTGTGTTAGTAGAGCACTAAAAACCGAATACAGAACAATTCAAAAGGTTTTTTTCCATGATTCAGCCTATTTATCTTCACACAGTAACACTAGAAAAGGAGGCTCTCCCTTCTGAGAAAAGAAAAACAGGCACTGGAAACTGCTCAACTAGCCTTCAAAGTGGTTCTTTATGAAGCTCTGCTAACTTCACTGCTCTTGGAAGAGCTTCAAGGGAAAACGTAGCAGCTTCTTCACCACTGCATTTTACAGTGTCTCTTCTGTCTTTGATCCAAAAAGCAATTATTTGCTTATGATTTAAGATCTGAAACAAACGAATAAGAAAAGCACAGGTAAATTAATATCTTTTCTTCTACAAATTTAAGCAATTATCTGAGAATATCGCAAGCTTTAAATATTACTAAAGTGTGAAAGTAAATTAAGACACTGTTATATGACTTACAATACTCCAATTAGAGCAGCTATGTGATCCATGGTATCTGATAGCCACTAGATATTTTACCCAAATTCTCTGTTTATGATTAGACATGTTCCTCTGCAACTGGAGCATGTTAAGAACATTTATTACTTACTGCCAGCCACCTGCTAAGCTGGTAACCTGTGAAGCTGTTCTGATTCGGTGACTTTGGATCACACAAACAGGCAATTAAGACCACTTCTAAGCAAAGGTTTTATGCGTGTAATCTCAGTATCAGTTGTGCATCACACATGCACGTGATCCTCTGCTATTTCTTCCACGTACTATATGCCAAGTGTTTTTGGAGTTTTCTTTTTTGACAACTGCAAATACAGCTCTTATTTGACAGGGAGGGAACTGAAGGCAAAGGGAAGTTCCAGTACAGGAAGTCAGAATCCAGCAAGTTCAGTGCTGTGTGCCCAGCCTAACTCACCACATGCAACCTCTAACCAGGCTGATTTCCAATAAAGCATACACAAGCCCAGTTACATTGGTGTTTCCAACTTGGTGCACACATAGCAACTGTGTAAGAGCAACCACCTGGATGTGCCAAAGCCCTATGCCCTTCAGTCTTTGCTTCTATTTTGATAGCACTATCCATCCCTTCCACTAATCTCTAGCTCAGCACCACTCCAACCTAGGATAAGATGTTGGTGACATATGGTACTCATATCTGTAGACAATGAGAAAAAAAAGATGTCCCAAGTCTGGTCCTCACAATGTTCCTAGATCAACCTGGTCCTCACAATGTTCCTAGATCAGCCTGAAGTATTTTTGTGATTTGTATGTTTAAAATCCAAGCAGGTTTACTGCTTTACCTTCAGCTGACTTATGCCAGCTTGATGACAAGACTAAAGAACATGATCAAAATGCCAGCTGGGGCAGGTGTGGGTGTGTGTGAAATATTTCCTTGTGTCTATGCAGTGAGAGGGTCTAAACACGAAAAAGCGTTCTCTCATTTTATAGCTGCGGTCAGAAGCATCAGGTTTCATACTCCCCACAAACCACGTAAATGTTCTGTCATCACATGGCTTGCAAACTGCACTAAAGCAGGCACAGCTACCTCTGACGTCTTGGCATGATGTAACAACAGAACCACTTCAGATGTTAAACCTTTAAGCGTGACGTAGGGGCACAGCTCAGCCAAGTACACAGCCTGTGCACAGCAGCACATCACGTAGGCCAGCAATAGTACACTGATTTACTTCATTTGGTCTTCAGTATTACTCCTTGGTAACTAACAGGACTCAGTTATCAGGAGACGCCATAGCTTCCTCTACAGTTGTACAGCCCTGTTTCAAGTCTGTTTCCTTGTTTCAAGACAGTTTCATCAGCAGCTTTGTCCGCATCAGAGAGTCAGGTTTCTTAGTCCTAACTGCCTCCCACCCTTCCACTTATCCATGTTTCTTCAGAGATTTTTTTTCCCTTTTCAGCATTGTCTTCAGCAAGGATCAGAATGTGATTGCTTGGCTGGTAATTCAACAGAAGTATCAAAACTGGCAGAACAAAAATCTCTGCAGCAGTTAAGGTGCCAACTGCTTCCACATCGCTGTGTATTTTGAGAATCTTTAAGTGGATTATCTGCATCAGCAGATTCCAAAGTGAGTGTGCACAAGGCAATCCAGTGTGGTGCGGGGAAAAAAATATTTTTGCACCATTAATAAAATTTAAAACATAAAACCACTGCTTACTTCATCCCTACCATTTTTAATTTTTATTTTTGTGCACGTTTTAGAATGCATATAATATTTGAGTATGGTAGTAATAATGTACAATTCAGAAATAAATAAATAAATAAATAAATAAATAAATAAAAATTGGGTGTGTATGTTCCAAGTATTTTACTGATGTGGTGCACAATCAAAAAAGTTTTGGGACCCCTAATCTACAACACAAAAAGCAGAAACCAGTATGAGATACTCATAGTTACACCACTCAAAGAAGGACTACATGACAGACAAAACAACATCTTTCCTTTCTTTCCAGGAAAGGAAAATTATTTACAGTCAATCTGCAAACTTAATTTCTTAACAAATAAAAATGCTCTGATACACACTAGATTACAGTACACGTTTTTAAAAAACTTCTTAAGTTTTCTTTTTCAACATTTAAGTCAGATCAAAAAATTTCAAAAGAAGAAGTTTCTGGTGTCTCAGTTAATCAGTTTGGAAACAAAACCAATCTCAAGTTGGAAGGCACCCATAAGGATCATCAAGTCCAACTCCCTGCTTCTCTTGGGACTACCTAAAACTAAATCACATGACACAGAGAGCAATGACTACACTCTAAGTTTGGCTTCCAAAGCACTTGGTAGTGTAGCACTGAAGACCTATCTGTTGAAAATCCAAAATTCCTATCTGTGAAAGTTTCCAGACAGATTAGTTGAAGCTATAGCATGGTGCTACATCTCAAAGTCTTTGGTTCTTGTGACAGCCAGGTGGTGAACACAAAAGTAATTTCCCCAATCTAGCAGATTCAGTAGTAGCATGGAGAAGTGAAATCATCTGCCATCAATAACTGTGAATTTCTCAATTTCCCAAGGATATAGTTGAAGTGCATGATCTGCTTAGAACTAATTTCACAGGAGTTCTTTAAGATTTTTTCACAAGGCCAAACTAAAGCATTCTATGATTCTAAGCAAAACTGTGCATAAATATGTAATAAAATTTTCTCATTGCTTGTGTGTCTGCAAAGCTTACATGGACTAAGATGTTACTATGAACCATTGCTGAACTTTGAATCCACCTGATGAGGGCAATAAACATACTACCTTACTGACCCCTCAGCTGCTATAAGCCTTTTTCACTTGCTAAGGCATGGAATAAAGTCAAAGTGCAAGCATGAGCAAGAGGTGAGCTATTAATAAATATTAGTAACAGTCAATCCTACAGTTGTAAACTGTGTCCAGCTCAGGTCCCCCCAACACAAGAAAGAACCTGAACCTGTTGGAACAAGTCCAGAGGAGGGCCACAAAGATCATCAAAGGGCTGGAACACCTCTCCTGTGAAGACAGGCTGAGAGAGTTGGGGCTGTTCAGCCTGGAAAAGACTCTGGGGAGACCTTGTAAAAGCATTCTGGTACCTTCCAGCTTATAAGAAGGCTGGAGGACTTTTCACAAAGGCATGGAGCGATAGGATAAGGGGGAATGGCCTTAAGATGAAAGAGGGTAGGTTTAGATTAGATATTAGGAAGAAATTCCTTACTATGAGGGTGAGGAAGCACTGGAACAGGTTGACCAGAGAGGCTGTGGATGCCCCATTCCTGAAGGTGTCCAAGGCCAGGTTGTATGGGGCTCTGAGTAACCTGTCTAATGGAATGTTCCCTGCTCATGGCAGGGGGGTTGGCACTACATGATCTTTAAGGTCCCTTCCAAACTAAATCATTCTGTCATTCTAAACTGGCTAAATTGGCCAGTCTTCTGTACTCTTCCATCATAAACCTGATTCCCTATTACATATCACACAGGGACATGCCCACCACACACATGCCACTTTCCTCCTACTAATTCTCACTCTTGTTTTCTACCTGAGTATAAAGGGGTCAAAGTCCTACACAGCCTGGCCCAGCACTGCCACTCCCAACCTCTGTGCCAGTCAGCACATTCTTCCAAGGCACAGGGAGCTTCACTCTCACTTACCTTCTAAACTGCAGCTGGGGGAGTTGTTCAAGTGCTCCCCATTTCCACCTTCCACAACCTGCGTCAGTTCTGCAAGGACAAAGGCAATAGACAACCCTGGTCCTCCCAACACTCTGCCTCTCTGGCCCAGACGGATCAAGGATAACCTGATTGAGATCTGGGCCATTCATTTGGCATGAATAATAACCCTGGCCAACATCCCCCATCCAATGGGACCACCATTCAACACCTCCCCTCTCACCTCCATACTTGACTGCACTGTGTTCATGATCCTTTACAGATACGGTGAAGGCCAAGCATGGGAGGCACTCAGCACCCATGGTGCCACCCATAACTGCACATCAGGAAGCATTAGGCGAAAGTCACAATGAACAAATACTGTTCCACAATGCAGGCAATTACTGCCTTCATTTATGCCATAGTCATATGCATGGTAGGCCAGCATGCTAAATGTTCTCATTGAAGATGTATGCACAGAGATCAGAAGACAACTACAGTCCCTTGCCTCGCTCAGCTTCAAGCTATGGCTCTATTGCATAAGACTGAGTTACTAATTACAACCCAACACGTTGCCAACATCATCAGCTAACACCAAAACCCAGTACTTTTTCCCCCAGGACAGCTTCCCGTCTCAGAGCAGGCACTCACCTTCCTCAGTTACACCATCATCAGCTGCACACTTGGATGTCAGGGTGCTGTTCTGCATGGTAGACAGTTCTGAAAAAGAGATCACAGTAGAGCTACAGTTCTCAGGAGTATCTCACTGCTTACCTTCACAGTGGTGTCAGTCATTGCTTAGAGATGAGTCACCAGCTACAACTCATAAGACAAACAGAAACACTCGGGTTCACTCAGGGAGGGAGACCAGGAGGTCTTTAACCCAACACCATTCTCAATGAAAGGTCGTAATTCAGTTCTAGACAGGTTGCTCAAGACTTTCTCCAGTCAGGTCTTAAAAACCTTCAATGGTAAAAACTCCATGATAATTCTGTGCAGACTGTTCTAGTGATTAGTTATACTTAAAAGCAGAAATCTTTTTCATCATATCCACACAGAATCTCCACTGCTTCAATTTCGGACCATCACCTTGACACCCTGCTAAATACACCTTAGTAAACATGGTGGCTGAGCCTTCTTATCAACACTACCATATGTATTGGTAGTTCTGTTATTTACCCTGAAAGCCTGCTCTTCTCTGGCGTTGAACAAGCCCAATTTTTTAAGCCTCTCCTCAGAGGAAGAGTTGTGCTCCAGCCTGGTGGCACTCTTCCAGCACTGGGTGGGCCACAAACTAGATGAAATACTTCACATGTCACATCTAACAAGTGAAAATAACCAGTTTCTTCAATCCACTGGCACTCCTTAGAACAGCCTAAGACGCTCTCAACCTTCTCTGCTTCCAGGGAGCACTGCTGACTTGTTGTGTACTGTCCATTAGGACTCCCAGGAACCTTTCAGCAGAGCTGCTCCTCAGCCTGCACGAGTGTAGAGTGTTGGTCCATCCAGATGCAGGACCCTGTGTGGCTCCTGCAGAATTTCATTATGTTTACACAGTCCTCTACTCTGCCCTTATACTGAGTGACTGCACTCTACATTTTGCTGTCATCTATAAACTTCATGACACTGTTTTCTCTCCCTTGTCCAGATCACCAAAAAATGAAATTACAGACCTATGCAGTATTTCACTTGCCACTGGCATCTATGTGGAGTGCAAACCATTAACCATGACCTGCAGGCTTGAGAAGCTGGTAATTTTTCTACCCGTGTAGATAGACATCACTCCAGACTAGGATATCCCAGTTTAGGACTACAGCAATCCTGGGGACACTGCATAAAAAGCCTTGCTAAAGTCAAAGTATATGACACCCATTGCTCTTCCCTCATCTGCAAATCTAGTAATTTCATCCATAAAATGCTGACAACTTGAACAACTGCCATTTACACTTACTCACCAGTCACCAGCTTTCTCCTCTGATCAGAAACACACTGCAAGATTTGTCCCAGGATTCTCCCAGGGATGAAAGTGAGCCTGACTGACCTGCATCAATTAATGAAGACATACAGCTTCCCTGAGCTTTGGCTTTCCTAACATCCTGCTTACCTGCCTAGGCAGTGTTCCTAAATTCCTCCACTGTAGTCTGTCCCTGCCTTCACATCTAGCATAAGCAATTTTTGCACTGGAACCCTGCCAGGAGCTCCCTGATTAGCCAAGGTGATTTTCTGATTTTCCTGCCTGTTTTCCTTACCATCAGCATGGCCTGTGCTCATGCTTGGAGAAAGTCCTCCTGCCCAGAAATCTTCCTGACAGCTTGAATTGTTGCATTGCCTTTCCAGCAGATGTCCGAGAGGTCAAAGACAGACATAGAGAGTACTGTCTTCTACCGGAGACAATGAAGGCCAGCCTGACTACATTTCACAAAGCAGCAATGTCTCCAGACCAAGCTTCCCCTTGGCAAACCTTCCTCTTAGTTACATCAATTCCTGTTCCTCACTTACGTGCTTCATGTGCACACACTGGGGAAATGAGGGCCTCCTCGCAGAGAACTCCCAAGAGGCAGCAGTAAACAGAAGCTGGCACTTCAGCAGGGACTGTCACTTGATCTTTATTCTCATCTCACTCTGACTGGGATTACTTTTTTAAATTTCTTTTTTTAAATCTCAATCATCTCCCAAATATACACCCTTCAAGTCCTTATGCTCTGCTGGGGTTATTTCTAAAGGTGACAAAAATACACTCTGCCCTTAACTACAGCCTGAAAGCTGGTTAACTCTGCTCCTGAAACTGCACAGCATTCAAGGCACAGTCCCACTCAATACTTCCACTAAGAAGTATTATACAGAAGTCACTCTGAGCCTTCAACTCCAAGCTGACAACAAACACCAAACTGGGAGGATCTGTCAACTCCCTCAAGGGCAGGAAGGGTTAGGGTTAAGGACAATGCTCTCAGGCACTTAGTGAGACTCTTGGGGTGTCCTGCGCAGGGCCAGGAGTTGGACTTGATGATCCTGATCAGTCCCTTCCAACTCAGCATATTCTGCGACTCTATGACGGGATCTTGGCCTCTTTGCCTACTGGGTCAGTATCACTGACTGCTCCATGGAAAAGGCACTTACCTTCCTTATTTACACCATTGTTAACTGTCTGCTTATCTTTCAGGGCACTGTCCTCCTTGTTCAGTTCTCTGTCTGAAAAGAGATCAGGGGATAGCTTCAGTCCCTCAGGAGCACACTCCATTGCTTTTTCCCCTCACCAGCACAGGCCACTGCTCTGTGCCGCCCAGGGCTCAGCAGCACACCTTCTCCTCTGCAGTTACGTAACACTGTGCTATCAGCAGAAGCCCTCTTTAAAACTTCTTTGTACATACATTTCAGAGAACATCATAGCCTTGTCTACTACTTCCCATCAGTAGAGCAGTGACTGCCTGTTACTTTAGTCCTGCAGGGTGTACTGGGCAGAGGTGCACTAACTCCCCTTCCTGATGTTCCCACTCTATAGTGCTACAAAATAAAGTATTTTATTTGTTTTTATTCTTCCAATGTCCAAACTGACAACCTTTATCTATGGACCTGATTCTCTTTTGCCTGAACTGTATGTTTCCCTCCTTTCTACTTTAAGACAGACATAAAATAAACCTCCTTCTCCTATATCCCCATCTATGTATGTGGAAATAGTTACACAAGTGATAAGACAATCCCACAGTGCACCACACCTTCACCATCAGCTACGCAATTCCTGTTTCTTCAGATGAAGAAAGCTGTTCTACACCCCTTACAACTCATGCAGGGAAAATAAGCGGTAAACCCCAGGGGATTCTGGGTTTCCTTTTCCTTTTCCTTACTGTCAGCATTGGGGATAAAAAATGCTGCCTTCTCCAACCCCCTTATTATCAGCTACTTGTGGAAATTGGTGGAAGAGTTAGTGAGTGAATGAATCAGTAGTGCAACAAACTGGGGAAAAAAAACATGTTTTTTCTCCTGACTTGGACAATAATGATCAGTTTCCCTAGCCCTTTCGAGTAAGAAGAACTTTTAGAAAAAATACAGATCCCCAAATTTCCTTGGAATTTACACTGACTGTATCAAGAAAACAAAACTAGAGCTTTGCTTAACTGCCTGATGAATGAAGTCAAAAGACTTTCCTAAAGCATAAAAAAGCAAGTGGAAGATACTGCATCTAAAAATGGTGCTTCTCTAAGGAAAGAAGCCCGCTGTATCTCCCAAAAAGGAATTTTGCAAGTTTGTAAGCATCCCATCTCTAAACTGGTGTGCTGATCTATTTGCCATCAACACAAAGCTTTGAAGCCGCAACATTTTATTGCCTCAGGTCCTGTTTGTGGTTTTTTTTCCTTCAGAAAGCAAAGCTCATCTACTCATGATGATATCCTACGACAATACCCTTGCACTCTTTTGCCTGCAATAAAAGCTAACATTAGACAAGAGGGTAATGTGCTTATTTACTATAAAAAGGGGTTCCCTCATATATGCTTAGTTCTTCTTCCCACAGATGGTGGTTTCCAAACACAGCATGCAGCATCATTCTCATCACATCAGCAGGGAAGGTGAAGCCCCAGGAAGGTATTTGCTCTGTGCTGTTTACCCAACAGAAGGTTCCAGGTCTTCCTGATTTCTCATCTAGTGATCCACCCATCCGCATTTACTATTCCTAAGGCAACAAGTCCTTCTAGGCCAATAGGGGAATGGTAAACTCCATACCGAGAACATTCTAATATGTGTAAGGTTGCAAAAGGCCATGTGCAAAATTATGTCCCCCCTCCAAGTTGTCCTGTTTTAGGGCACCAGTTCACTTGTTACCTGCTTCAGGCCTTTCGTTCTCACAATGAACAGGTTGTGAAAATGTAGCTGCAAAGAAACAGAAATCCTTATTAGAAATATGTATGGAGATAGCACAGTAGTCTGCAAAATGTGCAACTCAGCCTTAAAGTGGCAACTTCATTATAACACTTTTAGCAGATATTTCTGAGAATCAGTATGTTATGCCACTTAAAGGACTCACAATTAATTTCAACTTTCCTCCAGCAACCACTTAAGGTCCCAGACCATGACCAACATTGTCTATGCTTATGCCAACAGCTTTACAAAATCTTTCTGAAGTCAGTTTACTTAAGGTGATAAAGGTGCAGATTTGCCATAAAAAGCCAGATTGCCCTATAGAGCGCACTTTTCCAGCCCTCATCCTGAGGCCAGCCCCAGTTCTTCATTGATAGAAAGGGAATTCATGTCCCAAGGCAGCTGCTGACCAGGGAAATCTCAGGTGACTCACTGTCTTTAACTCTGCCAGCCCCACTAACACATCACTAAGTGCAGGTCCCTATAATTATCCCATATTGGACCTCAGCTGAGATTTTGAGTCTGCGTGTGCCCACACTGAAAATCAATTCAAAAGCTTAGATCCTGCAAAAAAGTAGAGTTCCTGCTCCAACCAACAGCAGATGTCCAGAAACAATACCGCAATACAGGTTTCTTACCTCTGTCTGAGTTATGCTGTTCTTCATTCTCCACAGAGAAAAGTTGTTCATGTTCTCCTATAATGAAATTTATTTATTTTAGAAATATGTACTACTCACCTGAAAAAAATAAGTACACTCTAAGAAAAATTACTCCTTTACCTCTCCAATGAAAGACTATACTGGCAAAGAATAAAAACTCACAAGGCTAGACCAAATTAAAGCAACGGTCTGATTTCCAGACATTTGTGACATTGTCTTACCTGAGCCATGCACTGGACTCTTCTTCTGAGCAACTCCTCCTCTTTCAAATTTAGCTCTACCTATACCCAAACAAATAGAACACCTGGAGAAATGACTTAGAAATAAAGCTTCTTTGGAAACGAGTTAACAGCCTCCATCCATTCCATCCCCTCCTCCATCCCCAAACCAAATAAAAAAAAATTCACTGAGAACATGCAACTGAATATTTGACTTGGAGAAAGAATAAAGAATAAAATGTTTTTTTGGGCAAAGACAAATGTGGGCAATAATTTTCTGGGCAAAGACAATTAGTGAAAGATCAACAGAATGGGCCTCTTGAGAAGTCAGCACACATATAATCAAATCTAAGGTAGAGCTTAATTTATGATTCTGAGTCTTGTATTTAAATCAGCAAATCTCTTCTGCTGTTTGATTGTACCAAGAATATCATCAATTAGTCCTTCCCAGATAGAAGACAGACTCCATACTCTTCACCTTACAGCCACCCTATCTGGAAGCCAACAGGAGTTCTCCATGCAGAGCATGCATAGGATGAAGAAATGTATTCCTGTTTGGAGCCCTCTCAAACACAAAGGGGTGTGCACCTCTTCTTCAAACTAGAAGGCAATCTGACACATTAACCCAAAAAAGGTGTCAGCAAGAGATACAGAACTCCAAGATGACAAGAGGCACAGGCTGATAGGAGGCACAGAAGTCCCCATTTATCAGCTGACCACACTTTGTCAGATTAGACTCAGCATTCAATAGGCCCTGGTATAAGCCTGTCCTAACAATAAATCTGATTTTGAGGGCAGCTTTATGATGCGCTCAAAAAAGGCTGTCAAAACACACTCAGGTAGGAACAGGAGAGGCTACAAATAATTGGTAAGTAGAAACATACAGTAAATGAAACACCCAGTCTGAAGGAGAGATACCCAAATGCAAACTGCAGTGTTGCCCAGCACTCAGGGCCCAGTGTCCAAATGCAAGAAAGTTCAGTACATCATTTCCTTCAAATCTATTAGCCTTTGCCTAAATTGTACTTGTTTCAACTACTGTTTTTACAAAACATCCCATGGTTAGAAACTTTCATACATTCCACAGATCCTTAAGATGACCACAATCTTGAAGCACATAAAGCTCAATTAGGAAATGCTCTACATACCTCTTTTCAGTAGGAATACTAGGACTCCTACAGATAGTATAAAGAGCAAAAAAGTCACAATAGTAATAAATCTGTGTCTTTTGTGAGAGCCGTATCCTTTAAAAAAAAAAAAAAAAGGATTGGTTAGTTATAAAGCAACCGTGTGATACATCAGTTCAGTAGAAACACAATCCTGAGGACGTTTTACAGCCTATTTGTTTTTTAAAAAGTAGCCTCAATAAATTAATGCACCAGAGTCAGTTATTAGCAAAACCCTAAGCCAACTCCAGCACAGTTATGTGTTAAGTACCCTCACACCTCAGTTCAGTGAAGGCACGTCACCCCTTGAAAGGCAATGGCTATTCCATTTTTTGACATATGAAAGTCAGAGCCAGATTTCAGCCAAATGAAATTTCAGCAAATACCTTATATTTGGTTTGCATGGCAAGGTTTTGATGTCTTCTGTGATAAGATGCCAGAAGCTGCCCCCATGCTTGATGGAGCCAATGCCAGTTGGCTCCAAGATGGATATGTTGCTGGTCAAGGCAGAGCCCACCAGCAACCATGGTAGCGTCTCTGGGATAATACATTTAAGAAATTGGGAAAACTGCTGGACAGTAACAGCAGGGAGAGAGGATTGAGAATATGCGATAGAAACAGCCCTGCAGACGTCAAGGACAGTGGAGAAGGAGGGGTAGGAGGTGCTCCAGTTGCCAGAGAAGAGATTCCCTTGTAGCCCATGACGGCCCCTAGTGAGGCAGGTTGTCCCTCTTCAGCCCTTGGAGGTCCACAAGGGTGCAGAGATCCACCTGCAGCCCATGGAGGACCCAACAATGGAATGGGTGGATGCCTGAAGGATGCTGTGACCCCAGGGAAGACCACACTGGAGCAGGCTCCTGGCAGGACCTGTGGCCCCACGGAGAGAGGAGCCCACACTGGAGCATTTTTGCTGGCAGGACTTGTGACCCTGTGGGGGATCCACACAGGAGCAATTTGTGAAGAACTGTGGCCCTTGGGAAGGACTCCCATTGTAAAAGTTCAGGGAGGACTGCCTCCTGCGAGAGGGATGCCACACTGAAGCAAGGGAAGAGTGGGAGGAGTTCTCCACAAGAAGGAAGGAGCACCAATGTGTAATGACCTGACTGCAACTCCCATTCCCCATCCCTCTGCACTGCTCAGGGGGAGAAGACAGAGATATCAGGAGTGAAACTGAGTCTGGGAATAAGGGAAGGCTTTGGGGGAAGTGTTTTAGACTTGTTCTTGTTTTTCATTGTCCTATTCTGATTTTGATTGGCAATAAGTTAAATTAATTTTCCCGAAGTTGAGCCTGTTTTGTCTGTGACAGTAATGGCTGAATGATCTCCCCCTGTCCTTACCTCAACCCATGAGGTTTTTGTCCTACTTTTTCCCCCTGTCTTGCAGAGGAGGGGGAGTGACAGAGCAGCCTGAAGGGCACCTGGCAGTCAACCAAGGTCAACCCACCACATACCTCATTTCTTTCAAGTTTCTAACACATAACTCCAGTGAAGGAAAAATTCTACACCGGTAAACAACAAAAATTACTTTTGCACAGAAATGAAAAACTTTGTCAGCTAGGGACTGCCTTACACACCCTATAAATGAAATGGTTCCAAATATGTTCTAACGCTGTTTAAAAAAGAAAAAAACACAAGCCTCAGGCTGAAGGCTTTCCCAAAGCAATAAGCAACAGGAGGAAAACTCCTTCTTCTAATTTTGATATCTCTCTGTGATGGAGGAAAGAAGTATGTTCATTGATTCATGCAGATGATGCTAGATGAGAAATTATTTTATCCAATGCTGCTAGATAACTCACTTGAAATGACTGAATAGTTTCACTCCAATTCATGGAGAGCAGTACAAAGAGCACAAGTCATTAGCATTAATTACAGAAGGCCAGAAGGTTCAAAAGAGATCTTTTAAGTTGGTCTCCTTCTGTTATTACTCAGTCAAGTCACAGCTGAAGGTTTTATTCTGTTGAGATCCCTGCAAAAAGTATCCATAGGTGGGGATCAAACTGTCAATCTCATATCTTACATCAACCTTATACACACTTTTAGCAAACAAATCACTTCTGATGCTTTTTACTCTTTAAATCCAACTCCCCTAGAAGTCAGGAGAAATCTTACAAAGTTCATGCTGCTTCCCAACCAAGCCTCTCAGACCTGTGTCTGCAACCTGACACATTCATTACCTTTTTTATCTGAAATGCATTGAATCAAAGAGATTTCAGAGCTCTTCTCCGTTTGTGAGAATGTAATGAAACATGTAGCTTTCTTGGTAGCATCAATATTCTCTATAGGGATGGAAAATTCCTGGCTCCAGTGACTGCGTGGATCGTTACTGATCTTCCAAGTGTAAGTCACAGGCCATGGGAAATCTGATGTACAGTTTAACACAAGGTTATCACCCTTGATGCTGTGACTTATTTTAGGTTCTGAAGGGGGATCTGAAAGGAGAGAAAACATTCAGTTTAGTTATAAACTGCCTTGAATTTTAGCACAGGACACGGGTTGGAGCAACAAAAGCAGCAGAGAGTGCAGAGACAAAAGTGTTCATGTAAGGTGTTTGTGTGCACATGCACATATGAGAAAGAGAGAAATGTGTTTCTAAAAGGAGAACCACCTCCCTGTGGTTCTTCCATGCCTAGCTGAAGGCTTCTCATGGCTCACTGTCAACAGGACTAATATACCCACTGGGCAAATATATTTCCCAAAGAGTGCTAGTGAAGATGAGTAGATGTGCACAGGATGATGCCACAGATATGCGAGCACATAATGCCTGGGATAACATGGTCAGCTAGCTCAGGGGGTTTGGTTGTCTACCTGAAAGTACAGTGCGCCATCTCCACACACTAAAAGTCATGGTGAGTAATAACTGGCATATAAATTAGATGCCACCTTTGAAAATCTGTTCAACATGCCTAAGAAACTTAACAACAGAGTCAAAGAACAGCTCCCCTCTGTTTCTGTTTGCTTTGTTGAGAAATAAACAACCCCCTTTCTAGATTTTTTAAAGTGGTGCACATTCTTCATGCAGTTCTTCCTCTACTTACCTAATACATCAAGAGTGAATGTTAAATAACTATCTTTCACAAAATCCCAGTAGCGTAACTTATATGTGCCAGCATCACTCTTCTCCAAGTTAAATATAGTCAAGTTCCCATTCTCCTTAAGCACGCTCCTGCCTTCGAGGGTAGTAAAATACTTTGGCGGGTTTTGCCCATCCCATTCAGCCACTATATCTTTGTCTTTATTCCAAGTAATTTCGTCTATTCTTTGCTTTATTTCTACTGGAAAAGTAAAATTTTCTCCCACGATGCCAAGCACGTTCTCAGAGTAGATGGGTGCTACAGGAGAAAAAAAAAAAAGCTACTTTAACAATTATAAAATTATAATTATATTATAATTCTATATAATTTATATAATAATTAAAATTATAATTATACAATTATAAAATACTGCTTGACTAACACTGTATACAGCATAAGACACATTCAAATTCAGGTTAAAAGCACATCACAATGTTGCAAACTAAGGCATGTGTTAGTTTAGAATTACCTAAACACAGGCTGTCAGCACAATCATATGACAGGCACTGCAAAGGGATCCAGTTTCCACATTCTGGTCCCAGGTAGAATCGCTGTCCTGATCTTCTTCCCTATCATAAGACCCTCTATCCTCAGTACTCTCCCTCTGCTCACTTGAATTAGGTCTCCTGCCTGTGGTCTGGTGAAGAAGATGAAACTGTCACCAGCAAAATCTATTTTATCATCTAGTTGCAGAACACCCAGACTGAAGTTCCCTAAGAGCATATAAACGAATTTTTCCAGCATGAATATTCACAGTTATTAAAAAGCACACTTCTGACATAAAACTGCTACTCAGATCAAAGCACCTGCTCTGAAATCATGGAATTTGTAGGGATTTCCCTTCGAAATGTCAATTAAACAAGTTTATTTTACAGACAACGCATGTGAAATAGCATCCAAACCTCTGAGATCTAGCAAAGCCGTCAGCAAGAAATGGAGCTGTCAAGAAACCTTAACTGCTAAAAAGGCCCAGACATTCAATGTAAATAAACACACAAGAACAGAAGAGGAATAAGAGATTTTCCCTATCTTTTATTAAAAACAGCTACATTTATAAGAAAAAAAATACCTACTGATCTAACAGACAAAATTTTGTTGCGGGGAGGGACTTCTGTCTTCAGGAATCAACTTTCAAGTAGCTCTAAAACAGTTACAAGATTACTGCCATGGCAGACATTTATGTGGACTTAGACAAAAACATGTTGATACCAAGTTCAAGTTACACTTGCATTAAAGACTCTATTCCAGAGACTACAGTTGATAGCTGGTAACTTTTTACTGCTAAGTTGAAGGAAGGGCATGATTAAGTCAAAAATAGGTCTCATATTAAGACAAGATTCCCAATACACATCATGTAAAACTTCCCTTTAAACAGTAACTGTTCGTGGTGAAACATAAATACTTCTGCTCCTCAAGCCAACTGGTTGCAAGTGACAGCTACTATTTTGGGTTTGTTTTGGTTTTGATTCATTTATTTATTTATTTGTAAATGTCATCAAGTTAAGAATCCACCAATTCCTGTATCATTCCGGGTTTCCCTTGCTTCTCGTGTCATCACTGTATGCAAACTTACTACTGTTTACACATCAGTGTGGATACTACAGCTTTATCACACCAAGTCACTTCCCCTCACCGTATGCAAGTCCAGAAAACAAACTATAACCCATCTTGCTCCACGTCCTATCTCTTTTCCATATGAAAGCAGACAGAAGGTCAGCTAGGCCTTTCTTTCCCATCGGCAAAGAACAATGCTCATCAGTGTACTGTGTCAGCAGCTCTTCTGTCTGCTGCCAGACCACAGAATCAAAGACTTTCTCGGACAGAATACTGATGCAATGAGAAACACACTTCTGTCTGCTTGGGTAGAGAACTGCACACACAGGTCTTCTCCAAGCCTCCTTAATTTGTTTGCAGTTTACCCACGAAAGTACTCTTCTTGTGCCATTACAGTTGCTACTTCTTGATGTCTGGAATTACATGGAGGCCTTTTCCAGGCACAGGAAATGTAAAAGCAGCCAGGGTAAGCTCTCACTCCCACATCTTTTCAACACAGCCTATGCGCTGTATTTGTCTTCTGTCCTGTTCAGGTAGATTTAAACATCTCACTTGCTCCCACTGCCCCAATATGAGCATCTCTTTCCACCCATCTCAATTAACAAATTCCAGAAAAGAACAGAACACGGGAGCTCTAACACTTGTGTAAAGATCACAAGAAAAGCAAGATGCTGGGCAGGGTGGAACACTGTCTTGATCTGATGAAGCTTGGAGTCTTGTTAGAGACTTTTGTTTCATAAAGACAATTTCTAGGAGCGCATATTTCTCAATAATTCACCTCTCACTGCCTAAGTACCTACAGAATTCCTACCATGGAGGAAAAGTCCCTGCTCTATGCACTGTGAAATTCTACCTCTCAGTATCTTCAGCTCACAGACACAAACAAGCTGTGGTGCTTAACATCAGCATGCAAAAGCCAAACCCTGGTGGCTGCTGACAAGAGCAAAGTGACGTGACTTCCTGCAGGAAAAGAAGCAGCCATTTGCTGGGGACAAGGACACAAGCAAGGACAGCCACCACTGCTCAGCCAACCACTACTAACTTCCTAAACTTGGGGGTCGATGCAGGTAAACTCCCCGTGTCTTTGCTCCCTTTAAGTTACTCACAAGAGCTAGGCTGAAGTTATAAGGGAAAACCTGCTGCTTCTTCAAGTCCAGAAATGAGACAGAAGGAAAGCAGAGTTGAAAAGAAAACATATTTTCTCTCCACAGGTTCTGCTTGGCATGGGGGAGCACTGCTCTCTTCAGCACGCTCTCCTCTTGCTCGATGGTGGAACAAAGGCTTGACAGCAAGGAGCTCAAGAGTTCCTGCCTAAGGAAACTCGAGGCTTCCAGCAGCAGGACAACAAAAAGTTTAGTCATCAGATAACCGTCATCTCCTGCCATCTAAAAATGCCCAAATCTTATTGGACATTTTGGTTTTATTTATACTGCTTTTACTTCCCTGCTTCATTGGTCTAGTAAAAATTTGAAGAAATCTCCCACTCAATCTGTCAGCTTCCTTTTTTTCAAGGAAATCATACAGAAATGTTGCATAAGGTCACAACCACGCATCTCTGAGCTTCTGAAGAAAGTATGTGTCATGACATGTTTTCTTAATTTCCAAGGAACCCTTCCCCTCTTTTCTACATAATTTTATATGGAAATAGATTTCACAGCAGTCTGCTTCTCTGCTGTGAGCAAAGAAGGAGAAGGGAGAAATGACAGCCAAACACTCTCTTACACAATCTTTTTGGAAGGCTAGAAATAAGAATGATGTTTCTCTGCTTACTCCCTCTCTCCTTATTGTAGCCTATTATTCCAAGATAAAGTTTACACAACAAAGTAGTGGGGTGCTAAGGCCTCCAGTAGCCTCTACAGAAACCATCAGACCACCTGCTTCTGTATCTCCTAAAACCCACTCCAAATTTCTTCTTATGCCAAACCTTTGTGTTCTTCCCTTTCAAACAAATCACATGATGAAAGTGTCACAGATAAAGAGAAGGTAACATTGCGTGGGCAAAGCCTCTGCTGCAAACCCACTACCTCATCTGGTCTACATCATCTTCTGCTCCCACTTCACCAGCTGCCAGACCCAGTGTGCTGTACTTGAGTCTTAATATTCACCTAATTCTGACTCTGAGCATTTAAGCAGGCTAGGAAGTATCCATGTTCTGTTCAGACCGAGTAACTAGAATTCAATACTCTATTTATCAGCAATAAATGCTTCATTACTGTTTTGTCTACTTGGTTTGACTTTCTTCACTGGTTTTCTTGGAGCTGATGTAAGGCTTAGTTATTTTGGAGAATGTCTATAAGCTAATTCCTTTTAATACTATCATTATTTTTTTGGGTTTCAAGTACCTTTTTTAAATGCATATATATATAAAAGCAGCAGTTAGACTCTCCTATTACCATTAACACACTAACATTCCACCTGCTGAAGCTGGGTGGAAAAGTCCTTCCTGGTTAACTTCTAGCAAGGAACGGTTTGCCTCAGGAGATGGGCTTTTTAAATAGTAGATATTTGTTTTATTTTTTATAACTTCCCAACTACCCCTTTTTCAGGAATTTTTAAAATTGTGCATTCCCGCAGCAACTGTAAGCAGCAGAGAGTTATGCTCCCTCCTAACCCTCAAAACCACCAGGTGCAGAAAACCCTGAAATAAATATTCAGCCCAGAAGGACTATCAGAAATACTCACTAATAAGAGGACCAACAGTCCTCTTAATTCTCCCACAGGCAACAAACACAACCCACTTCCCAAACTCCAGTAAGAATGCACTTAGATCCATGGGGTAACAGCACATGCAAAAGCTACAGCCAGGAGGGAAAAAAAGCTGTAAGCAGCAACCCAGGCTATTGCAAGATAAAATCAGATTCGTGTAGAAATGACTGCAAATCCTACATGTAACATCAAAAGCAGAGCTCTTCACTTGCATACTGCAGTATATTCACAGAGATGTGTGTTGTTACCTCTGGACAATACAGGGCCATCTGCATCTGCAGAGCTCCACACATCAGCAAAGGTAGGTAGGACCCAATGGTGGGAACCACCAACAGGTCTGGGTCCCTCCTCACCACAAAATCCATATCTTCGGTTATAACCCTCGGTCAGAGAAGGGGATTAACAACAGACAGCATTCCCATGCAGAAGTTACCCGGTAATTTTAAAACTATGCTGCTGCCCAAAAGCATGGGAATGTCTTACCCATTCCTCCCTCTCTTTTGTTTCTGTCTACCTGTTCCTGCAATAAAACAATCATGCAGAAAGTGTAATCAGCTGAAAGTTAACTTGACACACAACCCAACTCCAACAAAAGAAACAACAGAACCACCACAGAAGGACTTTAAATCCCAGATATGACTTACTGTGGGAACCCCAGTGCTCATGCATAGGATGGAGAAGAAGTGAGTGAACTGGGGAAGAGCATTCCCTTGGCCAGCAGCACTGGCCTGGCTCAGAGCACAATGACTGCACACACAGCAAAGATCAGGCTTCTTAAAATAGCTACCAGGAAATAACAAGGATTGAGCTGGATCCTAACGTCTGTTTACTCCCGGGTTTACCCACTTCACTGAGAGCACTTGTCTCTCTCTACTCAGTATTTGCAGTCCTAAACCTTCCTAGAATAGAGGTAAAGCCTTTTAAAATGCTGTCAGAGATGGAGATGGTGCCTCCCACTTCTCCTTAACTCACTAGTCAAACCGCATGGTCAAGACATT